TTCTGTTGGAGCGGTATGATTTCGGGCAGAGACGTACTTAGCCCTTCTCGTCAACTGGAGAGTGAGTACTTTTTCCTTTTTTTTTTTACTTGGTCGCCCTCGTTTCACTACACATTACCTTTGTTATTTCAAGGGTAGTTGTTTCTGAAAAGGAAAACCCCAACTTTGCGGACACCCTGTATATACATATATATATATATAATTCATATCGTTCATCTGTTTTACCTTTTTCTACAATGCTATTTATTTTATCCACATACAAAGAACAATAATACATTAGAAACCAATTATTTCATTTTTTTAAATCAATTATATTATTAATAAATTTTTTATCCCTTTTATAATGAATTTGCTTTTCTTTCCAGGTACAAGGAGAAATAAGACATCATATATCAAATATTTCGACTAATATTTCAAATGAACACAGACAATATGGCAATTTTATTTTTTGGAAACTGAACTGGCAAATCCACTTCGGTCTGTTGGTCCACAAAATCGAGCAGAATTAAATCGAAATCGTCGACCTCATCTCTAATTACTTGTACAATCACAATCCATTTGCTCAAGCATATAGATTTCTTAAGGATGTCTATCAATAACAACAACAAAGCAATCGTCATCCAACATTGGAATTGTACATCAATAACAACCGTGCTCGAGATATCAATTTCAGACAATATGGCGCGGTACAGGCCAATGAAATAGCAGCCGTATTTATTTCTGAAGATGGGAGACCGCCCCTGGATCGTGCTTACATGTTTATTGTCGAGACAACGACCAGACTATCCACAAATTACCATATCTTAGTGTCAATTGCGATGCAATGACCTATCCTCTATTACATCCAAGAGGTGAAGCAGGATGGCAGTCTAGAACACCACATCAATATAGAAGAGGCTATATATCGTTACTGGAATATTATAGTTTCAGAATAGCTGTTCGACCAAATACCTTCAACCAATTTGTAATGGCAGGCAAGCTAACACAACAGTACATCGTAGATGCATACGTAAAAATCGAACAAAGTCGACTACAATTTATTACTGAAAATCAACCACGTATTAGGCAAGAAATATTTCAAGGATTAATCGACTATTTAGACTCTAGACAATTAGATGTTCATTATCAACCAGGAAATATTTCATCCTACCGTCGACATTCATAGGAAGTCCACGCGCATTTAGACAAAACTATTTGGATGCCATGTCTATAGTCACAAAATACGGGAAACCAGATATTTTCCTAACATTTACTTGCAATCCTGCATGGCCTGAAATCAGGAAATAACTTAGATGCAAATCAACATTCCTCAAATAGACCTAATTTTGTATCCAGAGTGTTCAAGAGCAAATTAAAGGAATTAATAGAAGATTGATAAACGACATATTATGGGAGTTTATGTTGCTTACGTTTACGTAATAGAATTTCAGAAAAGAGGACTTCCGCATGCGCATATGTTGGACCCTGCAGCAATCGACCGTTTAATTTCAGCAGAATTTCCCGACCCTATCGCGCATGCCAACTTGCACGAATTGGTCAAAGTACATATGCTTCATGGACCTTGTACCAGTGCTCGATGCTTAGATGAAGAAGGATATTGCAGCAAACAATTCCCGAAATCTTTGCGTGAAGATACCTTATACAATCCCTCTGGATATCCGTTATATAAAAGACGGCCAATAGAAACACCTATACATATAGGTCGAAGAACGGTAGATAATAGTTGGGTTGTACCATATAACGCTTATCTACTTGAAAAATACGAAGCTCACATTAACGTGGAGGCTTGCTCTTCAATGAAAAGCGTAAAATATTTACTTAAATATATACAAAGGATTTGATAGAGCTCAAATTGTCGTACGAACCGTGGAAGAAGACGGTCAAACAACAACTATCCAGGAACCTATGTACAACGAAATTCAAATGTTTCTGGACGTTCGCTATGTTAGCGCGCCTGAGGCGATGTGGAGGATTTATACATTCGAAATGCACGATATGTCTCATGCTATTATTAAACTCTTTGTACATCTTCCGAATATGCAACAAGTCTATTTTAATACAAATAGTACCATTCCTGACGTCGTAGAAAGGGCCGCAACACAACACACTACGTTAACAGGATGGTTCGCCTTAAATACCCAAGATGAAGAAGCTAGACAATACACATACGTACAGATACCTTATAACTATGTGTGGAAAATAACACAAACAAGAATCTGGGTAGAACGTCAACGTCATTTTAATCGTATAATTCCTAGATATTTTGTACATCCTAGAGAAGGTGAAAGATTTTATCTTCGTCAACGTCTTTTGCATAAAACAGGATGTAGATCATTCGAAGACATTAGTACTGTACATGGCCGTACGTAGAAAAAAAAAGTTCGAACAGCCTAAGGTTATGCCCGCTACGTCATCACTTTATACCCTCTCCCTTGCGTCGATTGTACCCTATAAGAATATAGGAAATTGTTGTGACAGTCTCTGGTAAGATTTATGGACATCTGTTACCGCCCTCTTAATGTGGTCCAGTTCTAATCGTGGCGAATATTTATATCGTAGAAAGCTTAAAAATGTATGTGGTCTTCAATGTCCAGAAATTATGTTGTTGTTGAGGCTGTTAAGGGACATCCCACTCTCAGTAAGCCATAGGCGGAACGTTTTTTAGTATGTAGATACGCAAGTTTCAGTCAGTTGAGATTGTTGACACAATTGCGATCTAATGAGACGTTTGTTCGATTTATTTATTTTTTTATTTATTAACCATATCATATTTTATATTTGATTGTGTTGAAAATTATTAATTTTATGGGGTTTGTGGATATTTGATGGAGATCCATAAATCAAAATATAAAATAGTGAGCAGGTACCTACATATAATAGACACACTATTGAAGGGTAAAACCCCAAAGTTGGCAAACAACTGAAAGTAATTAAATTAATCCTAAGACTGTGATCCGCTTATATCTATACCAATCATGAGATTTCCTAGAGTGCATCATTAGTACCTAGATAAATAGGCTAATACCAATATCAAACGTAGGTAAACAAAATTAGTAGAAACAAATCTAATAATACAAGTGTAAAATTGAACTACCTGGAATAATTCCCGGTTGCTAAATCCCTTTTGTTCGTATAGCGTTAAGAACGATGAGTTTTAATCACATTTATTTTACCTGCAACAGATATATAAACCTGTCCGTTAGTCATAAGTTCAGTTTGTAAACTAATTGAACAAGGCACCGTGTGTAAAAAATTGTCAAATAGATTGCAATATAGTGGACATTTTTACTATTGTTCAAATTTAAATTATTAATAGTTTTGAACCAGTGATCTAAACAATGTCTGTGAAAGAGATTGGCGTGAAAGGAAAGGCGATTGGGAGTCAAGGAAAGGAAATTATCACAATGTCAATAACTTCATGGTACAGAAAGTGTAGAGATTAAAGTTTCCACTTCAACATACCGGTATGTATGAATGTAAAGATTTTTATAATTATTGTCAATTGAAACTGATTAACCCATCTAGGAAACGTGTGTTAGCTGCCACGGGTAATAAGTTGTACTTATCAAAAAATAGCTAAAGAGGCAGAGATGGAATATTTCAAGCAACTTTTCATTTTCATCCCCATCTAAAAGCGGCAACGAAAATCACCTGTTGTGGATAAAGTGACTGCAGGCTAAATTGAAGAAATGAAAGCAATCATATACGATTTTTATATTTGGGAGAAAGAAGACCTTCGCTGAAATGTAAGTTTTTAAATTGTAACCGTAGCATCTAGTCATATTTCATTTTAAGATTTTTTAGGTATTTACCAAAAAATGCAAGATCGACAACTCAATTTTGAGGGTAAAATAACGACTTTGAACGAACACTATAAAGTTTTTGATTTACAACGCTATAAATATAATTTATATCTACAGATGGAAAAGAACTACTGAAAATAAAAAAGCTCTCATGGAAAAATATGAAATTCGCTTGAAGCGTATCGAATATCTGAAGCAAATTATGAAATATAGAGCTGAGAACAGGAACATAATTTATACGGATGTAACATATATACATTCTAGTCATACCCAAAAAAAGGATGGTCAGATGACAATTATGACAAGGAACTAAAAACGCCTTTATCAAAAGGACAACGAATGATTATTGTGCATGCTGGTGGAGAATTCGGCTTTATTCCTAACGCCTTGTTGATATTTTAAATCAGGTTTATTTGTGTTACAATGATGTAAAATATTTCCAATAATTTTTACATTTACTGGAATATATGTATGTATTTTATTTTCAGGCTCAAAATCTGGGGACTACCACAACGACATGAATCATTTGAACTTCATGAAATGGGCAGAAAGCCAATTGATCCCAAATTTGCCTGAAAATTCTGTGCTTGTAGTTGACAACGCTTCTTATCACAATGTCCTGGAAGAAAAAAATGTAACCTCTTCTAGCCTGAAATCAGAGATGATTGACTGGCTAGAAAAACATCAAATTCCTAGTGAAAACTCATTGACTAAGGCCGAACTATATAAAAAATACAGGAAAATTTCCAGTCAAATACAAGCTAGATGCCTTAATGGAACAGCACGGGCATAAAGTTTTACGACTGCCTCCATATCATCCGGAGCTAAACCCAATCGAGAAGATTTGGGCTCTCGTAAAAAACTGGGTTGCTCCACGAAATGTGACATTTAGGTTGTCTGATGTGGAGCATCTGACCCGTAGCAGGTTTGAAGAAATTGGAGCAGATGAGTGGAAGAAAATTTGTAACCACGTGAAAAAATATGAGCAAGCACAATGGAAAAAGAAAATCGTCTCGACGATCAAATGGATAATTATCAGTTCACTGTGAACACAGGGTCATCATCAGAAGATAGTGACGAAAGCGACTCAGATGAAGATTTGGAGCTAAACACACTATCATCTGATAGCGATTAGATTTTTTAATGATATATATATTGAATTATAACCGTCTTTAGTTTGCTCCCTCTTCTAATTCAAATTTGCTTCCGAAAAACTTAATGCGCATACTAAATAATATAATAATACAAAAATCAATTAATGATCAATGTCTACACAACCTATTCACTTTATTTTATACTTCAAATAAAATAGAACGCCACTGCGCTCTATCGACGACCGCGTGATGAGCGGACCCGCCCACGATGACGTAGCGGTCATATTCTAAGAGCGTTCGAACTCTACGAAACGTTCCGTGACGCTGCTATTGCGATGAACCTTCTCACGGACGATAGTATTTGGTTCACCATGTTGCAAGAAGCTATACACGTACAACTTCCACGAGCTCTTCGTCGTATGTTTTCACAGATGTTGCTGTTTTGTGAAATCGAAAATCCATTAGCAGCTTGTGGGAACAATTTAAATATCATTTATCTGAAGATTATATACGACGCTTAAATGATAACGACCTAGCCTACAACTATGCCTTGGCTTACATCAATCGATACCTAGCACTACAAGGTTAATATTTCTATCAATAATTACTTTTATTAATTCATTTAAAATTGATACTTATGTTTTCAAATACTTTTTTTATTTCACATTTTTTAAGCATATTGAAATCATTTATTTTCGTATTAGAAAATTTTTGAATTTAATCACTTTATATGTAACAGTACTGTGATGTAATATGAATTCAATATTTAATATATTTATCGCTATTAATTTAACACAACATAAGCATTTATGTTCCAATCAATTTCAGATGAATACAAAATTATATACTAAGTGACATATAAATCCGAACACCCAGTTTAAATGGTTTTATTTTAATAAAATTTTGTATAAGTACTTAATGAAGCATAATAAGTAAATGATAAAAATTTCAAAATGATTGCACTGCTTTAAAGCCCTTTGACCTTTAATAATATGTGGATGCACCCTGATGTGCTACGCATTCTCCAACGCGCCTAGGCATGCTTCCGATCAGGTGGTCAATGTCTTCCTGTGGTATCTCATTCCAGGCAACCACCAACTCCTCTCGAAGTGCTTCTAGAGTCTGAGGAGGACGTTGCAAATTGAGCAATCTCCTACCCATCATATCCCACACGTGCTCAATTGGGGATAAGTCGGGAGATCTTGGTGGCCATGGTAACAATGTGACATCATTATGTTGAAAGAAGTCTATTGTGACTCTTGCAACTTGTGGTCGGGCATTATCTTGTTGGAAAGTTGGATTGCCAGGGTGTCAAGATAGGGTAAAAGATGGGGTTCTAGAACTTCGTGGATATAACGCTGCGCGTTCATGTTACCTCTGATGAAGATTAAAGGTGACCTGGAACCATAAGCTATAGCACCCCAAACCATAACTCCAACAGTGTGATGAACATGTCTTTCAACAAAAAACTGTGGATTCCTCCTTTCACCACGTCGCCATCTAACCCTGGCACGACCATCGTGCATGCCTAAACAAAATCGAGACTCGTCACTAAAGACAATGCTGTTCCATTCCTGATCCCAGAGTGACCGTTGTCTACACCACTCAAGGCGATTACGTCGGTGTTTTCGAGTTAAAGGGAGGACCCAGTGTGGCCGGTATGAAAACAAGCCAAAACTTCTCATTCGTCGGTAAACACTTCGCATGCCAATAGGTCTTCCGTGTTCTGCAAACCATTCATTTGCAATGGACCTGGTAGTGGAGAAACGGTCCCTTAAGGCCAATTATCTTAGGCGGCGATCTTCACGGTCTGTTGTTCTCGAAGCCATGCCTGACAACACCTAACTACAGTGTCTACACTTCTTTGCACTCTAACTGCAATTGCCCGAAAAGAAAGTCCAGCTTCCCGAAGTCCCACTATACGGCCCCTATCAAACTCACTAAGTTGACGAAATCGTACAGGTCTCCGTACTCTAGGCATCGTAACCGATCGTAAAGGATGTCAAGAACCAAAATCCGCCAACGTTGATTCTTTACTGCGGCTGAAATATTCATTTTTAGAGCGTTAGTGAATTAAAAAAAAGCAGTATAAAAACCAGAATGTCCAACTGATCACTTGTTATTTACAGTAAGATAAATACATTCACCAACTTTTATTAAAATAAAACCATTTAAACTGGGTGTTCGGATTTATATGTCACTTAGTATATTAAAACTATATTATGATAAGTAATTACTCAATAATTATAAAATGTTTATACAACTACTTATTACATTTTTATTTTTAGGCAAATCAAACAGAGACTTTCAACTGCTCTTACCCACTGAACCAGTAGAACACCTAATCGAAGATGAATACGATTATGATCAATCAGAAGAACAAGAAATTGCTAATAGGAACATTCCCCTTTTAAACCAAGAGCAACGACGTATTTTTACCGATATACTTTTAGCCGTAAACGAAAATGAAAGAGTTTCACATCGTCTTTTCTTTATTAAGGGAATTGGAGGTGCAGGAAAAACATTTCTATTGAATACACTACTGACTTACCTACTAGGAAATAATCACCGTTACATTGCTATCTGTTATACAGGTATCCCAGCCAGCTTACTGAAAATGGCCAAACGATTCATCCTGCTTTTATGTTACCGGTTCCATTTCTAGAAAATTCAACGTCAAGGATTCGCAATCAGAGTGCGATTGCTGATAATATTAGATATTCAAAAATTATTGTCATTGATGAAATATCGATGGTACATAAAAGTATATTTAATGAAATAGGTAGGAAGATAAGAGAAATAATGAACAATGACATTCCACTTGGCGGCAAGATTATTATAATTCTAGGCGATTTCAGGCATGCGCACCTATCGTTCCATTGGCCGGCAAAAATGAAACTATTTCTGCATCAGTGAAATGTTCCCAACTATGGCAACACTTTGTTAAGTACGATCTTCTTACGAACGTTAGAGCACTGCCACAGCAAAACGAATTCAAAGATTGGCTCATGACCATAGGAAATAATTCCGAAATTTTACGTCACTTAGAAAATGGCAGAGATACTATAGTCAAAGTTCCTAACCATATTATTGTAGAAAATGTTACTGAAAGCATTTACGGTAGCAATTTAATTGAACGATTCCACACTATTACAAAAAGCGATTTGTTCCGTTAAACATTCATGTGAAGGATATCAATGCAGTTGTTTTAGAAAAACTGCCAGGCAGATCACGACAATATATAGTGTTGATAGTATTATCCGAGAAGACGATACAACTGAAAATGCTGCTGATGATTTAGATTCCGCATGTCCACAAGACTTTTTAAATTCTTTGGATGCTCCAAGACTTCCTCCCCACATTCTTACACTAAAGATTGGTGCAGTTATCATTTTAACGAAGAATTTAGATCTAAAGAGAGGTTTATGTAACGGCACACGCTTATTGATTCATAATTTACACGAAAATTTTATAGAAGCAAAACGAGTAGAAGACCCTAATAATGAACCTTCGATCGAATTAATTTCCAGAGTTGACAACATCGCTCTAAACTCTCTTGATCTACCAGTCAACTTGAAAAGGAGACAATTACCTGTACGTTTGGCTTTTGCAATGACAATTAATAAAAGCCAAGGTCAAACTTTGAGCAGTGTATGAAATCTTTTTCTCATCGATAAGGGTACATCTTTATAACATAGCTTTCTGAAAAATCAGAGAACTACAGGGTGATTTTAATGGTTGGGGCAATCAATGTGCCCATTGATAATTTTGTGCAAGAAAAGTAAGGCAAATTCCATGCTGAATCTTTCAAAAGAAGTCATACCTTTCTAATGTGTTATATGAAAAAGACCAGTTTATCAACAAAGATACCCCTCATATTACGAAATTTGATATTAAAAATATTATATACTCTGTATATTTCCAACTGAATATGTAAAGCATGGAGGTCTTTTCTACATTTTTTGCAGTTATAACTTGGGGACAAGTTAGAACAGCAATTTTTTTATATTACATAACCTTCGCTATGTGCACCAGTATAATTTTTATGTTGAATAACTGTTAATAATGCTTTAATATAACTACTATTAAAATCTATATTGTTCACATATGATGGGTGTTATAATATATATGTAGACATACTTTAACCATCGAATCCTTGGTCAATTTGATAACGAAATTTCCATATGAACATGGATCCGCAACAGCTTTGTTTTCAACCTAAAGCATATTAGCACAAAGAAATATTGATGTTCTAAGAAATTATAAAAGAATGGAACATTTGGTGTGGTGAATATCACATGATTACAGTTGTTTTCAGATCCTCCATGTACGTAGATACGGATAATGTTATCCAGGTTTTTTGAAAAAATAGCATGACAATGATTTGATTTAATCCCAATACTTTTCATATAATGACATTTGGGAATTAACTTTCAGAAACATAATTTTTCTTTTCATTATGTTGTATTTTCTAGGTTAGAAAAACCTATGACATTGACTTAACATCACAAAACAAAAAACATTTACACTGAAAAAGGAACAGTCCCGTGCTGTCCATAGGCGAACACGATTGATTTATGGCTAGAGATGATCGATATATCGGTACCGGCGACCTTTCCCGGTGACTTCAATGGTCGCCGTTAGTCCCGGCGACCTGATTCTCCATGAAGCAGCGACCCAGATCGCTGTTTGGAAGTATCGGTAACCACTGATCGGTAGCTGTAACGCTGTTTCGGTCGCGGTCGCTGCCAGGAAGCATATACACATCACGTTCGCGATCATCGCGCGGGAAGTACAGGGTCGCTACGGCGTAGCCTAACCTATTTTGTTAGTTTTTATTGTTATTGTTGTGAGTTCCTGTTTCATAGAAAAATGTTTCGTTTATTAAGCAATGTTTAACATATAAAAGAAGCATTTTTATACTACATTTGTTATGTTTTAAAAGTTTTATTTTGACTGGTAAAACAGTATTTTGTTTTCCTTTTTAAGATTCATAGAAAGATATTTTATGTATTTTTATGATTTTATGTGTTTTGTGCTCAATATTGTTAAAAACAAAAACCTTAATATAGTTTAATTCAAATCTTCAGGAACCTGAACATCTACACCTCGTTAATATCAATGGATAACGCCGCCAAATATCGAGTAATGTAATCAGCGCCAGGGAGTCGCTGGCTGCTGGCAGCGACCATAGATAAGCAGTGACCTAAAGCGCTGCTAAATCTACCGGCGACTTTAAGGTCGCTGTCACCGATATCCCGGCGACTTCCAAGTCGCTGCTAATATCATCTCTATTTATGGCAGTCAAGCGCTATTTTTTTGGCACGTCACGTGATTGCCAGATATATAAGCAACGTTAAATCTGAGCTTATTATACAATTTTATAGAGGACATTAATACTGTATGCAAGATTTTATAACGCCATCTGTGTTATTAACGACAGATGCGACGTTGCCGGCTCCGCACATAAATCTGAGTATGTTATAAAATTTTATAGATGGTATTTTTAATGCTATATGGAAGATTTTATAACGCCATGTTAACTGACAACTCACAACAGATAATGTCAGATGTCAGATACCAGGTACCAGATAACAGATAACAGATCAAAGGTGATAAAGGATAGATAATGATTAGAGATAGGGATAAAGTATATCATTAACATTGCATTAGCATACCAGCAACTGCGCTACGTGAGGTTTTAAATAAAGACATCAACATACATATTTTGCATAGCGTTAGCATGCCAGCAACCGCGCTAGTCGACTATATTAAGCGGTGGTCGATTGTTTTTCGTAGAAGGCCACGTGACGCTAGAGATTCAGGCCGTGCGACGTCGACGCGGTTTTTCCGGTTTTTTTCCCGGTTCGCGAAACGTTCGCAAGGAAAGAGGTACCTTTTCGGAAAGTAGAAACTCGACGCTTTACCGGGGAGCGGGAACCGTCGCGGTGAGAGGAACGGATCGGATCGAAAACGGCCGGTAAAGTCGAAAAATCGACCGTTTGTCGGGCGGTACGCGGCGTTATTTCACACTCGTTTCGCCGTTTATCGAAATATCGACTCGAGATCGGTCTCGTTCGATAGCTAAACGAGAAATACGTGCCTATCAGCTGAATCCGTTCGGTTCCGCGTCTCGGTTTTTTTTCTAGGAATGTTCGAAAAAAAAGCGACAAAAATGACGAATCGCCCGGAAAACTACGATATCTCCCTTATGCCGAAGAGAAAAGGAATTTCGCGCGCCGCGTTTCGTACATCTCGGCGAGCGCTACAAATTACGCGGAGAGACGTTTTTTCGTTTACGGTACCCGTTTCGAATAAACGAACCTCGAACGTCGTCAAGAATGACTTTTTGCGTTAAAGCACGCTGCTTCGCCGTCGATCAGACATCTC